CACACACACACACACACACACACACACACACACACACACACACACACCTGGCCTCAGGGGCCCAAATGGTGACCCCTGTCAGCCTCCCCCGACCGCCAGTGTCATTTCTCTATGTCCCACAGGATTCCCTTTCCATCAATACCTTGGCTCCTGGAGTTCCTGGATCACCCTGTGTGGGAAGAAAGAAGACATCCGTGAAGAAAGGAGAGAGGCAAAGCAGGAACAAGAGCCCCCTGCCTTGTCAGGGAGGGAGAAACCGCAGGACAAAAGCCTTCTGAGAAGCTGCTCCTGAGGGTCTCATTTCCCCCCTAGAACAATGGTTCTCAGCTTCCCTAATGCTGTGACTCTTTACAACAGTTCCCCATGCTGTGGTGACCCCAACCATAAAATTATTTTTGTTGCTCCCTCATAACTGCAAATTTGCTACTGTTATAAACTAAATATCTGTGTTTTCTGGTGGTCTTGGGCAACCCCTGTGAAAGGGTCATTTGACCCCCAAAGTGGTCATGACCCACATGTTCAGAAACACTACCCTAGAAGGGTGAGCAGGTTAATGGCATCTCAGGAGGACGTGGGAAGGGGTGGTACCCGTGAGCAGAGCTGCTGCAAAGATCAACACTGGGCACTTCTCCTGCTGAGATACTTCCATGGTGCCCACTGGCTTAGTTAGGGGTTCAGGGCAAAGGTGTTGGCTCTCCTCTCAGAGGCTTCAGAAACCCATGGCAGCTAGTTCTGGAGCAGCAGACTAAGCCCTGAGTGGAGGCTGCACACCTGGCTGAAATCTCTGTCCTGCCCTTAGTCCAGCTGCCATGCTGCTGAGCCCCTGGGCCCCAGCTCTGTGGTTTCATGACACCGTTTTATCTTGTCCCTGACATAGCAACAGTGTTTACCTACCTTCATCCCAACCACAGCTATCCCAGGAGACCCCTGATACAGAGAGAGAGAGAAAAAAAAGGTATGAAGGTTTCTGAGGTCAGAGGCAGCTCTACCTGGCCTTAAGGCCCATTCGTTTCTGCTGACTGATAGCCAGTACCTCCCCAGAGTGCGGGAGATGTTAGCAGCTGAGCTGGACACCCCAGGAGTGCACCTGGGGATGAAGAGTGGGTTTTCAGGGACTTCACTGGGATGTATGGTGGGGACAGTGAGGCATGGGCTAGGCCCCTGTGCTCAAAGTGTGGAGACTATCAAGCAACACCATAGAAAGGCATTGCGTTAATTCTGTCCATGGCTCTCTAGACCCCGCCCTCATGAACTGGAAGTAAACCCCACCCCTTCTTTTTGTGTGTGGTATGTGTGTGTGCGCGCGCGTGCATGCGCACATGTGTTTGTAGGGGTATGTGCCCCTGTAGACACATGTGGAGGCCAGAGGTCAGGGTCAGGTTCATCCTCTATTGCTCTCTACCTTATTTTTTGAGACAGGGTCTCTTGCTGATCCTGGCACTCACTGGTTGTCTAGACTGGCTGGTCAGCAAGCCTATAGGACCCTCCTGTTTCTTCTTCCATGTGCTGGCATTACAGGCAGGAACCACCCCATTTATGTGGATGCTGAGGATCCGAACTCAGTTCTCATCATTGCAGTTACACTGTAAGCTCTTCGCTGAGCCGCCACCCCCGCTCCTTTTTTTAAAAAAAAGACAGGATCTCCTGTAGCACAGGCTGTCTTTGAACTGGATATATATTCCAGGATGGCCTTCAACTCCTGATCCTTCTGCCTCCACCTCCCAAGGGCTGGGAATCCATGGGATTATCCCCAACACCTGGTTTAAGAAACTCATCTTCATTTTTCCCCAAGAGCACATACTTCGAGGTAAAAATGTTGTTCAAAGTGCCACTTTGAGAAGCCCAAGTGGAAGCTGTTGGAGCTCTTGTGTTTTCTTGGGGTCTCAGGACCATACTACAGCTGATAGCTGAGAAGGATTTTCATGATCTAGAAAGCTTAGGAGATGGTTGGAGCCATGTCAGACTCTCCCCACCTGCTCATGTGAGACAGGATAGACAGAAACAGGAATGGAGAGGGTAGAGGGGGGAAGTGTGTACCTCGTGTTCCCAACAGGTTGTGAGAAGGAACGAACCCAAGAAGGAACTAAGATGCCCAGAGTTTGGGAGAGGAACAGGCACAGGGACAGGGAGGGATGGGTACCTTGGCTCCGTGCTTGCCTGGCATCCCGGGCATGCCCCGCTCTCCCTGGAAAGCGAAACACCGTAAGAAAAGGACCAGACTCAGCATCATGCCCTGAAATCTAAAGCATCCAACCCTCTATGAATTCTGAGGACCCTGCCATGGTAGCAGCCACACGGGCTGCTCTCCTCAGTTCTATGACACCATCTTACAGGAACACCCAAGTCACAGGTGTACAGCAGAAAGGTAGAGAAACAAAAAGAGAGGGGGTTAGGGAGTTGAAAATAAGGAGACACACACACACACACACACACACACACACACACACAGGAATTAGAACTTAGCCAGGGAGAGATGAACTGGATATGCAGGTGAGGATGACCTTGAAAAAGTCCTTCTGCCTCCACCACGATGGGCCTGGAGTCAGGGCTGTGACAAGAGCAGCTAGGTGGCTATCTACCTACTACAGACCTGTCCTTCTACCTGTGCTCCAGTTTTATACCCAGAAGGTTTGTTAGCATGGTACCCAGTGGCTGGGCCAGACCTGAGCTTCTCTCTTTTATCCTCCCAAGCTCCCTGGGCTTATGAGCTGTTCATTTTTCTAGCCACACCCCCCACACACACTTTGATCCTGCCTGGCCAGACACAGCAGCATGCTGCCGCTTTTCTGGCATTTGTGGGCAGGGCTGTACCATCTCAGCTCTGTCCCTCTTTATTTTCAATGTCTTCCTCTTCCCCATGATCGGAGATCAACGGGAGGAAAGGGCACCAGGAAGGCAGTCATACCATCATGAGGTGGGCAAGAGATGATGGCCAGTGACAAAAGGGGGCCAAGAGAAGGTGAATCAAGACTGTACTGCAATTGTCTAGGGGCGGGGGTAGCTCTGGCTTCATGCGCGGAGCCCTACATGGCACCCCAGTATGAGTGTGCAGCAGCACCCTGCCAGCAATGCTGGAGAGCCCAGACACACGGACTCCCACTGTAGCTCCCACCTGGCCATATGCTTCATGTGTGCAGGCTCTCGCCCGCTATCTCACAGGACTGCTCTGCCCTCCCTTCTGCAGACAAAGGCTAGAGTGACTCCCACCGTCTTCCTCCACACTGGGCCCTCCCAATTGGTATCTGCAAGTCTCCCAGCACACAGGCTAGATAATGAGGTGCCCAGCTTCACAGTCTCCACCGCCCATAGATAAAAGACACGGGGAATCCAGGGCTCTTCAGTCTGCCTCCAACCTAGTTTCCTGCTGCTGATAAACCACTGTGTTCCTAAAAGTGCCACCCAGTTCCACAGCCTCATAGCTCTCTGCTGCTTCCCTTCACTGTCCCCACATCCCAGTGCCTCAGAACTGGGAATTGAACCCAGGGCTTCATACATACATGCTAGGCAATTGTTTGCTTGTTTGTTTTTTTAAGTCAGGGTTTCTCTGGGTAGCCCTGGCTGTCCTGGACTTGATTTGTAGACCAGGCTGGCCTCAAACTCATGGAGATCTGCCTGCCTCTGCCTCCTCAAGTGCTGGAATTACAGGTGTGCACCACCACGCCTGGCTAATTGTTTAAATCTTGAACTCTATCCTCATGGGATGTTTTTACTTTTAAAAGCCTGGCTAATTGTTTAAATCTTGAACTCTATCCTCATGGGATGTTTTTACTTTTAATCTTGAGATGGGGTCTCACCAAGCTGTGCAGTATGGCCTTGAGCTCACTTTGTAGCCCAAGCAGGATAGTGATCCTCCTTCCTCAGCCACTTTGCACCGACGTCTGTGTACACATTCACACCTATCTGTGACAGAGACTGCAATCACATCTATTTTCTTTGAGCCTGAGGTGCCTGAGGTCTACAGAAGGCCCTAATCTTTTATGTGCAAACACCGAGGACATGGCCTGCCAGGGTGTCAGAGGGGTCCAGCCAGCACAGGCAGGTCTGCTCTGTGGCCAGCAGAGGGTGCAGGAGGACCTACCATCTTGGCCACAGTAGTCTTCAAGGCCCCTCTGGGTCCTTCGTGGTAGCACCCATCTCTAGGGGACCAGGGCTCCTGATAACATTCCAATGGACTCCACCATGCCGACTCAGCCAGAAGTTCCTAGACAGAGTTCCCTGGTGTGTGCAGAGATGTTGTCGGGGACGTTGCCTTGGGAGGCTCTGGCTACTCAGAGGCTCCTGCTGTTTCTCTTCCCTTCTGTTTTCCTTAGCTTCCTGCAAGGTCTCTGAAATCCCTCCTCGTCTCCCGAGTGTGGCGCCCGCGTGACTATTTCCCTCTCTGAGTCCATGCTTCTCCTCTGCACAGTCAACTCAGCCTAGAGCTATTCTCCTGCCCAGCCCTGCCCTGGCTGCCTGCGCAGCTCTTCGGAGGCCGATCAGCCAGAGCTGGAGAGGAAGTGCTCCCACCAAAGTTCCAGAAGAAGGGCTCTCTATAGGGAGTCTTAGCTTTAGGTAAAAGTCTAGGAGGGGGCCCGGTGGTGTCTTCAGTGTGGGTTGGCTTGGCCTTGAAAAGACATGCCTGTGCAGACAAAAGAGCCAGTGGCCCATACATCCTTCCAGGGAGCATTCCTCCTTAGGGCAGCTGATCCACCTCTTCCCTCCGCCCCCACCCCCCTTGGTTGATCTTGGTCTAGGGGCCTCAGGACCTCCTTCCCTCCTGCCCTTTTGCTGGGCAGGAAGCAGGGGCGCCTGGCTGACCCCACACCAGGGCTCGCTCCACTCTCATTAGCCTCACTGCTCAGCTCCAGCCTAGGGGCTTGCCCTGGCTGACCTCTGGAGAGGCCAGAGAGCATTGCTCTCTGGATGGGGGTGAGGCATCCTTCAGGACCCAAGACTGTTTCAGAAGGTGGAGCAGGGGCTGGCATGGCCACAGCTGAAGGACAACCCACCGTGGCTGTGGCCTGCCTCTGTGACATGTAAGACCCCCTTTTCTATTGTCGTCTTGCAGTTTTCAGTCCCTAAGGTGCAGGTGGAACTGTGTTCTGCTTGGCCCCACTGGCTCGGAGCCATGCTTGGCTTTGTGGCTTGGATCTCACAGCTATTCAAGCCTATGGTCCTGATTCCTCTCTGCCTCTGTCTTCCTCTGGGAATGGGATCCCAGAGGCCCTGGAGGTGGGGTCGGGGCTCTTCACAACCTATCTGGACCATCCTGTGGCTGGGCAAGTGGGTGTTCCAAGTATCCTGAAGGGTCTTGGCCCCTCTGCCCAGCATATGATGGCATAGACTGTGATTCTAAGAAGCCAGCCACCCTTGGGGCAGTGGTGCTGGCTGTTTAACATGGTGCCAAGAAACAATGAATGAAAGCACAGGTGGGGAGTGGGGAAAACTGTGGCTCAGGAGACAAATGGGTGGTGAGGGCTGCACTAAATGACCTTGAAGGCCTGTCTTGGCAACTAGAGCCCCCTCATGGACCCCCACCCCAGTATCAACAGGTTCTGTGTCCTTTGAAGTTTCTAAGTGGGAGGATCCATCCTTTCTAGAGATGACAGGATGGCACAAGCTTGGCCAGTGGGCGTGGCCTCCTAATTGGTGATTTACTGTTTGTTGAACAAGCTGCACAGGGACTTGGCAAACAGTCTGTCTGGAGGGAGTTGGGGTGGGGCATCAATGTCAGCTCCACAGTCAAGCAAAGGGCCGGCAGGCTGGGGAGATGAATGGGTTTCCCTAACTTCAGGCCAGGCCTCTACTACAAGGGGTCAGTGAAATAGCATCTTTGTTCTCCGCAGGGGATGGGGTGGATTGCCTGGCTGAGAAGCTGAGAGGGCTGGGGAGTCCCACCCTGGGGTGGAAAAACTGGAGAGATGAGGGTAGAAGACACAGCACTTTGTTCCAGGACATAGTTCTCAGTCTGTCCTTCCTGGAAAAAGGTGACCGAGTTCCTGTTATCCTGCTCAGAAGCAAAGACCGGAACCATGGAAATCTCAGGTCCTCCGGTAATTAGGGTCGGCAGGAAGTGATCCAGGGAATTCCTGGGTCGGGTGCCCCATTAAAGGCTCGGGGCTTTGGAAGGATGGCTGGCTTGTAATCGCAATTTCAGATCGGTTGATTGTGTACTCAGTAGTCAGTTCTCATTAATCTGTAGGCTTTGGAGGGCAGAGCAGAGCCCCAGAGGTCATGAAGTGGGGCCTGGGGGCTGGGATCCAGCCAGTCCCCTTGAGGCCGCAGATCTGGGGCCCATGTCTCCCTGTTCTTATCTGCATCTATTTCAGGAATCTAGATGTCCTCATTGGGACTTCCCAACATTGACAGAGAATGCCGAGTGTCCTCTGCTGCTTGGAGATGCCACAGAGAGCTTGGGTCACTTGGACCCTCTGTAAGCCAGACGGCCACAAGGACCTCTCAGGAGTGGCTGAGGTCTGAATAAGCTGTCTTAGAAGCAAGCAGCAGCTCAGCTGTCTAGGGTCACTTCACTGGGCAAAGCACACTCTCAGTTCGTCTAAATGAGGTACTCATGTGCCTACTTACACCCTCTGCCCTACAACGTCATGAGCCCAGCCATGATCTCCGATTCCTCTACCCTAAGCCCAGCCATGATCTTTGATTCCATGAAGAGCATCTCAGCTTCCACCTTATTTCCTTCCAGGGAAAAAGATGGAGAAAGTCTTTCAGAACGCTAACTTCCCTTGGAGACCCTAACACGTAGGTAGTAGTTCAATGACAGGTGGGGCTGGGGATGAGGCTCAGTTGGTAGAATCCTTGCCCAGCAAGCACTATACCCTAGGTTCAATTCCTGGTAGCACAGAAACTTGGTGTAGGGGTGCACAGCTCTAACCCCAGCACCTTCTGCCAACCCCAGGGATGGCAGAAGGATCAGATGTTCAAAGTCACCCTCAGCTAACAAGTGGGTTTAAGGTAAGCCTGGGCTCAAAACTCAAAGGGGATGGGGCATAAAGTGATGCCTGTGGAGTGTGGAGTGCCTGGTGCCCTGTCTGGCATGTGGAAGATTCCTAACAGTGCTCATCATCATTCCTCAGAACTCTGCCTCCTCCAGAATGTGTCCTAGCTTACGGTCCTCTACAAAAGTCATGCAGAGGCTACGGGATGCACCAGATGCTGTCCTAACTTCAATGCACTAGGAGATGCACTCCCATCAGGTCTGTGACCCACGGTGGTCTGAGGGAGACCCCAGGCTGTGATGTGTGCTCTTTGAAACATGCTTTGTATCGTGCAGTAGAGTTAAGGTAGATGCTTGCCATAAATTTGGCCAAGCAGATACCACATGGATATAGAACAAAGCATGCGATGTCTAGGCAGAACGGTTGGCCCCTGGGCAAATGTAGGGGCTACCCAAAGGAGCTAGCCACCCTGCGCTTTGATCACAAGGAGCCGGTAGAGAAGTTAGCCTTGCCGGCCTGGCAGAGAACACACCAGGTCTGGTTCAGCCAGCAGGGTGACGGAGGGAGTGTCTCCTTCTCATACTGCATAGGCTTGTGTGCCAAGCCAGGGAGACAGGGCACATGGAGCTCATGCAGCAGGTCCACCTGCTACAACAAGGACTCCCACAATGGGCCGGTAGAGGAGCTGTCTCAGCTCATTGTGAACAGTGGTGGCCACTCCTCCCTGGGGGTGGGGTAGGAACGTCATTCTGGCACCCATGTCCATCCCAAGCTAATTTCCCTTCCTTACACCTTAACTGAGCACAGAGTGGGAGGTAAGCAAGAGAAGAGAGGGAAGAAAGAGAGAAAGGGTAGATTGATGGTTAAAAGTGGGGGAGGGTCCTTGTTCAGCCTTCCTCTCCTAGGGAAACCACAAGAAGGGAAGGTGCTTTCAGACAGGCTGGTGAGACCCCGCTTCTGATTCCAGCATGGCTGCTCACCAACTGTGCAACTTTAGGCGAAGTGCTAACAGCTGGGCCATGATGGTCTCTCTGCCCTGGCTGTGGTAAGGACAGAATGAGACAGTTTAGCACTTTGGCTAAACTAAGATGTGAAATGTCGCTGCAATTGACTTTGGGTATGTGTGACAATCGCTTCACGTCACGATTGTGAGGGAAGCAAGTGTATGTTTGGATGCGATGCTTGCTGGGGTCAAGAAGCCACAGTCCCAGTGTGTCTGTCTCCTTGCAGGGGACCCCTCTGCTAGCGGACCACAAGGCACTGAGGAACTGGTGATAGGACAAGGGCAGCAGAGGGGGAAGACAGGCTTAGGTGTGGGATGCTGAGGCTAAATGGGAGGTGTCTGGGAGGGTTGAGGGCCGAGAGAGGTGTACTGGGAAGCTATGGCCTTGGCTACTAGAAAGCATAAAAAGAGACTTCTATAGAGGAGCAGAGGGGCATGGTCTAGCAAAGAGAAGGGGTAAGAAACTCAGCATGAGGGGATGGGCTGAATCCTATGGTTGAGGAGGCTCTGACTGGCCCAGATATAGATGAACAGACGGGGACCGAGGTACCAGAGGCTAAAGCTTACAAAGCTCTAAAGGCCTCCAGGGGACATGTGTGGTCAGTCTGTGCCCAGGAAGCCTTCCCTGGGCAAGAAAGGATTGTAACCTTATATGCTGCAGGTGGGGCTGTTAACAGCCCAGGCCAGTGGTTCCAGCCCTCTGGCTCTCTCCCTGGCCCTGGCCTTAGGAAGTGTCTCTGACTGCCCTAAAACTGCTCTTTCTGGAGGGCCATACTGCTCACTTCTATTCTTGAGAGAGCAGCACAGTCCTGTTCTCCTGTCAGGCTAGAGTTCCTGGTGCCTGATGCAGCCTCCTCTCCCCAGGAGCCACCCCCCAAATGGTACTGCAAACACAGGGATGCATGGATTGAATAAAGCTTGCTTATCACCTGCCCGCATGGAAGATGACCATGCCCTCCAGTATCATGGCACCCCAGTCCACAGCTGGGCCCTTTCCCCTGGACTGTTTCTGAGGTACCAGACTTTCTGGTTCACAGCAGAGGCAGACACCACCCATCACAACACAGTACCAGCCAAGGGCATCGCCATGACCCTGAGGCACCCTCTTCCAGAGCCCCCACCCTTTCACAGCTTGATAGAGCTGATCTGACCACTAATGGGAAAACCGACCCATGCTGCACCAGGAGGCAATAAATTTTTTGAGTCTGAGTGAGTGGATGGAAGCAACCGTGGGGGCTATAATTTCCACTTCCTGACAGAATGCAAGCTTCTCAGTTTATGTAGAACTAATTAAAGATCTCTCAAATCTCACCATTTCCCCCAACCAGGCACCCATAAAACACCAGTCACCAGAACCCAGACAGTGAGGCATGTACTCCTGGTGAGTCTTTCCAAGATTTGTTCTCCTGCCCATACTGTTCTTGCTGCATTCCCCCTTCCACAGGGTTCTAAGGATTCTGGAATGCCCCAGCCATAGTATGTGGTACCACGAGAAAGACCCAGACCTGACTTGAATTCTTGTTCTGACTTCTAGCTGAGACTTGAGTGAGCCTCAGTTTCCCCCATTTGCTGGGTGGGAGAAAGTTACAGCAGCTCCAGGGGGTAGAGGACTGGGAAAAGTGCAGGTTGTGCTGTGGGACAATGCCCAGCCCACAGCTGGCATTCAACAAGCACCGGCTGCGGTTCAAAGTGTTTATGGCGACTGTAGCGATGGCTTCTGGGCATTAGCTCAAATGGTTTCCTCGTCTAAAATACTGTTTCCGTTCTGATTTTCATTTTCTGCCCTTCTAATCAAGCGGTTAGAACTGGGTCTCCTCCTAAGCTGTGGCAGGTAACTTGGTTGCATAACCCATTTGAGCAGAAGGTGTACAGGAAATGGGGTGTGCGATGACGCTGGGAGAGTGCCCATAGATTTGAAACTGCCCACCTTGAAGGCTTTCTTGGGCCTACCTTGCTGTGGGGAAGTCCATCCAGCCCCCTGGAAGATGAACAACTCCCAGAAAGCAGAAGCCACCGGCCAACACCACCCACAGGTGTGTTAAATAGGCTACCTCTGCCCTCCTAGTTATTATACAATAAGCCTCTACTCCGATGAACCCAGGTGGAACTGCAGAGCCTCAGGCCACCAATCCACAGAAACATAAGAAATAATCATGATTTTAAGGCAGCCAATTTGGGATACTTTATTACACAGCATTAGCTAGCTGATACACCCACTAACATGGTTTCAGCTCTTGGCTGCTTTCTCCCAGGAAGCCCCCCAACTCTGCCCACTTGGTGTCTATATCTCCACCTCACTTTCAGCACGCTTTGTACTGGTAGCACTTAATAGTTGCCGGTAAAGTGATCTGTGCAGGAATCCTTGTCTATGAAGCCCGAGAACTGCCCAAGAACGGGGCTGAGTCTGTCTACATCCTCCTCTAGGCTTAGCATGGAGAGTGTGTTAGAAGGGACCAGTATTCTGGCTCACCCAGTCAAGTTACCAAACACAGCCACCCAGATCCATATGAGAGACACTCCCGTACATGAGATTGGTTTGGGCTACCAGCCTGCCAACGCCCTGTCCCATCTGTTCCCATCCTTTTCTGAGTGTTCCAACAGCCTTATAAACACCGAGACTCAGGTGGCTGCCTGGGTGTGAACATACACTATTCCTCCCTCAGCCCTGGCCTGTGTGTACCCCTGTAATGAAGACCTTCTTGGGTCCCCCCACGGAAGAGGTCGTGCCTTCCCCTCCTGCTTACCTTGCGGCCATGGTAGCCCTGGATCCCTGGGTCGCCCTGGGGAAGAAAGAAAAGCCAAATGGTTTTCTATGCCATACCAGCTGATGCTCTTTGCTACACAATGTCACCTTCTGCCTCCCCGTCACACCCCTGTTCTCTGGAGGTTCTCCAGACCCAGCTATCCCTGGGGCAACAGCCCTCAGTGACCTCCAAAGTCCCCAGATATTATTCTGATGGCTGAAAGGTTCCGGAGGAGCCATCTTGTTGGGGGCTCAGAACATCCGGTTTGGGTTCTACCAACTCAAGTCTTCTCCCGCCCCGGGCCCTCTGCTGCCATGTCTACAAAGTGGTGGCCACCATCAGTGCTTTATGGCCTTTGATCCCCAGGGTTTCTGACTTCAAAGTGACAGTGTCTTTGTCATCGTGGGCTTCCAGGCAAAATTTCACAAGAGATCTGACTACTCTGGAAGTTTTTCTGTATTTGACAGTTTGGGGACACTGTGACCATGCCACGGCATCTGTCTGCCTTGTGTTTCTAGCTAGGACACAAACTCTCAGCCAGCCAGGATTGTGCGTACTTGCTTGCTTGCTTGCTTGATTTCTTTCTTTCTTTCTCTCTCTTTCTCCTTATTTTTTTCCTCCTAAAGACAGGGTCACACGTAGGCCAGGCTTGCCTCTAACTCGCTATGTAACCACAAATAACCTTGACCTTGTGTCCCTCTGGCCTCCTCTTTGCAGGTGAGGGGCATAAGCTAGGTCCTCATGCAGCCCAGGCAAACACTCAGCCACTACACTGCAGCCCCAGCCCAGGAGTGTACTTCCAATGCCAACCACAGCCCTTGCTCGGTCAGCCTGAGCACCCAAGATTTACATATTAGGATCAAAACAGTTCATAAGAGGAGGAGGTGATGTTTTAGAAATGGACCACAGTTAATCCTTTACTCTGCTTCCATCCCTCTCAGCTCCTTCCTCAGCTGACAGCCCTCCTCCCCCTTATGGAAACACTTCCCCTAAAAGCATCACCACCCAGGGGAATGCTTACCTTTGGTCCGGGAGGCCCAGGTAAACCCTGCAGATAAAGAAGAAGGTGAGTGGGTGCGGTTAGCCATGCTCATAGGGGGGCTGGAGCAGAGAGGGCCCGATAGCTCCAGGGTGTCCTGGAGAGTAACTGAAACCTGGGAGGGCACATGGGGACAGCAGGCTAACATCTCTGATTGGAGCCATGTGGCCACTGTGGGCAACTCTACTGCGCTCACCCGCTGGAAAATAGGTCAGTGGCCTGGGGCTAAATTGGCAATGTGGCTTAGGAAAGATCCTTTGCCCATGTGTACCTCCTAATTGAGGACCCTTGCTGGAAGGCTGGCCTTGCCCAACAAGGCCCTGAACCCCTGAAGAAGAGCCCACTGGCCCACTCTCCCTGGAGGTAACCACAGAAGCTGGCCATGGTGAGCTGGTGTGGGTACAGGGCCTGTGGGTGCCAAAGGGAGAGGCCAGGGGTGGCTGAGTACTGTGGTCTTGGGCGGAGGTCTGGGCAATAAACGTGGGCTGCAGAAAACCATGTAGGTCTAGTCTGTTACAACTCGTGTGAAAGACACTGAGGATTCACTTTCTTTATAAACAATCTAAGAACAAAGAAACAAACACCTGCCCATCTGCCATGAGAGAGTGAGTGCCCAGTACTGGGTCGGAGGGTAGTAGTTGGTAAAACAGTTGATTTGGTCTGGCTCAATTTTCTAACTTCATTTCCTTTCGGTTTTTCTATTGTCCCATCTACAGACTGATGGAGGCAAAACTAAACTGGCCCTTGGAGTCTTTGGGGGAAAATTCTGTGAATATGCCTTCTGGGGACCAAGCTGAGCCAGCCCTGAACAAGGCAAGCTGTCACTACAGTACAGCCCTCCCAACCTAACCAGAGATTATGGTGGCCAGAGCTGCCATGTAGTTAGTTCACAGGGGCCCTCTACAGTCCCAAGATGGCTGAATGTCAGAGCGGCTGAGGGGCCTGCGCATGAACTTGAGTGATTTTGATGTCATCTCTTCCAAGCTACTTGGAATACTTTATCAGAGATGTGTGCAAGTATTTCTGTGGCATTGTGGCTGCAGAGGATGTGCCTTGGCCAGCGTTTGAGAGTGAGTGAGTTGGGAGTAGCTGTGGCACTTGAAGGGGGTGTCTATGATACCCTTCCCCAGCAGTGGCATGTCAAGGCCCCAGGATGCAGGACCCCACTGACTGGGTGGCTTGCCTAGAGGGTAGACCAGCAACATGGGTCCTGTATTTACCTTGAAAGACATAGTTAGCCATTAGACGCCAACCCCTTGTACCTTCCCAGAATCCACTGCTCTGACTTCGGTTTCCCTAAACCAGGGGCCAGGGACAGCTGCCAAAGGCCCTTGAGATTTCTCCCAGTTACTCTGCAGTAACATAAGGTGGAAGCTTATGAGAGTGGCCCCTTGAGGCCATGACTGACACAGGCGTGCTTGTAGAGTTGGGAGGGTAAACAGGTGAGTAGAGAGAGATTCGGGCATGAATAGCTTCTTGCGTAGGTCACCCATGTTCAGGCCCTTGACAGGATGTTTCTGTCATTTGGTCACTATTCAAGGTTTAGAGGGTTCTGGAGATTTCTTGGAAGCAAATCTTGGAGAGGGAGAAATACTTACAGGTGGCCCGATAGGCCCTGGAAGTCCTGGGTGTCCCAGGGGGCCACTTGGTCCTGGGGGACCCGGTGGCCCTGGAGGGCCTTGGATGCCAGCCTGGCCTTGTTCTCCCTGAGGTTAGACAAAGCACACATTAGAGAGAAGGTCTCAGAGCAGCAGTCAGCCTCCCCCTGTGCCATGCATCACTCGAGGCCTCTGTGGCTGCTGCTGTGAAGGCGGTGGGAGCAGGGGGCGGATGGTGAGGGTAACGACGCCATGGTGGCAGTGATGGCGACTGCATGCAGCGGCTGATGGCAGCAAGAAGAGGACCAAGACATGGAGTTACTGAGCTGGGGAGGGGCCTTCGAGAGAACATGGTCTCCAGGGCAGCGGGCCTGGCAGCGGTGGCAGAGGCAGAGTGAAGGAGAGATGGCTGCTGGCTGGCCCCCAAGCCCTGCTCAGCACAGGTGGTCTCCAGCCTGCCTCAGTCTGTCTCTTCATGTGGCAAGAGTGCCTCAGCCCCGACCTCCCAGCCACAGGGTGGAGTATAGCGTCCTTGTTTCCTGTCTCAGCATTTGCTGGTTTTGATTATCTGTTCCAGGGGATCAAATGAGACCCCTAGGTCAGAGGCCATGGGGGTTCGTCTGTCTCACCGCTCAGTTGAGCGGGGCTCGTCAGCCAACTCCTTGCACTTTGGAAGTGGCCCCAGCACCATCTGCTAAGCACATCAGCTCTTGCACAAGCTTCCCCTTTCCGCTAACCTGAAACTGTCTTGCATAACATGTACAACCAATATGGATTTATCAATAGGAAACAGGTAAGCCTTCTCATGTCCCATGAAGGCTGACGGTGTAAAACCCTTACTTCCTAGAAACTGCAGCAGCCATGAGGCCAACTAACACTGGCTCTGCTTTGGAAATCAGGTCAGAGCATATGGAAAATTCTGGCTTGGCCATCTTTGTGTCTAAAGACACAGCAACAGGTGGTGGCTGGGTCTACTCCTGGACCCGCTAGGGCAGAGGTTCTCAACCTGTGGGTCGCAATCCTTTTGGGATCATATGATCCTTTCATGAGGGATGTCTAAGACCATCTGCACTTCAGATATTTACATTACAATTCATAACAGTAGCAAAATTAGTTATGAAGTAGCAGTGGAAATAATTTTATGGCTGGGGTCTGCGCAATGAAGAACTGCAGTAAAGGGTCGAAGCATCAGGAAGGTTGAGGACCTCTGCTCTAGAATCTTCTTCTACCAACTGGAAGTAAAGAATATGACCCAGGGAGCTGGTTACGTAATTAATCATGCATGATTGTTGTGTGTATGTATGTGTGTGAAAGACAGACATCAATCTTGGGTGTCATTCTTCAAGGTCTCTTCTCACTGCTCTTGAGATGGTCTCTCTCTCTCTAGTACCTGGAGATCGGGTCAGGCTAATGTGGATTGGCCAGAGAGCCCCAGCGATTCTTCCATCTTTCCCATCCCAGGGCTGGGATTACAAGTATGTGCCTGGGGATCCAAACTCCACCCTTCCTGCATGTCCAACAAGCTCTTTATGGACTGAGCCACCCCTTAAACCCATCAGGTAGTGTCCTGGGCCCAGAACCCAGTAAATGTCCAGCAAAGAGTGGTTAACAGTGGTTGTGTGTGTGTGTGTGTGTGTGTGTGTGTGTGTGTGTGTGTGGGCTGCATGTTTAGAAGCACCACCTCAGCTTCCCTAAAGTAGGGCCTCTCTGCAGCAGGATGAGTGACAGAGTGAGGGGGCTTGGCGCTGCTGCGGGCTGTTAGTGGCCTCCTGAGCAGCCCTTGGAGCCCTTGGAGTCTCTTGAGGATCTAGTGGGTAATGAGATCCACAGCCTACAGGAATGGCCAGAATGCTTAATAGGCTGCACGTGTATCATGTGACATTGTATTTTTTTGCTGATCATCGGTGTGAGTTTTCAGCCTATTCAGTCAGGTACTTGGGTATCTATCCTCCTGAGCTGTGGGACTCACCAGGCAGGCTCAAGGCCCTGCCACTCCCAGCTCCCTGGGCCCTGGGGACACCTGGGCTGTAGAAGGCAGATGAAGGCTAAGACGGACAGCCCCTGGCCTCATGTGACCTCAGACTGCAGGGGGCCAACCCTCCTTGGAAGCAGTAAGGCAGGAAGATATGAAAGCAGTTGTTTGCCTGTTGGTTGTGGGCCATGCTGCTCTGCAAACGTGCTCAATCCTCAAACCCAAGTTCTAAGTGGTCAGACTTAGCAGGCTGTCTAAGCACAAACGATGTGGCTCCCACAGAGGACAGAAGCAAGGGCGTCAGAGACCAGACTATTAGGCCCTCTTGCTATTCCTGTGGCTTTGGGTGAGTCGGTTCCTCCTCTGAGCCTCAGTTTCCTTGCCCTATCACGGTCACAGTGCCTGTTCTTATTTTACAGAGGAGGAAGTTGAGGCACACTGGTAACAGGCAGAGAACCTGGGCTTCAGGCAACTTACTGAACCCTTCTGAGCCTTTATTTCTGCATCTGTGCAATAAAGGTGAAATGATGGTGCTTGACTCATGACCCATTGAAGGACTTAAAATCAGGCCAGTAAAATAGATGTCAGAATGCCTGTTGTTGGTTCCTGTCGGGCGTCATGGTGTGGTGGGGCCCGTGTACTGGGTATTTCCACAATTATGGCATCACCGGGCCAATGTCTGTCTAATTTACTGTAATCATTATAAGCAGATTCTGATATAATGGATAATCCAGCTGCCCTGTCAGGACCCCAAGATGTGCCAAGCCCCTGGGGAAACCCACATGGTATCTACCTGAAAGGTCCGTCTTTTAATGACTGGGGGTGGAGCCAGCCGAACTGAATTGAGGAGAGGCAACAGCTGAGGAAGGCCAGAGGGCAAAGGCCAGAGGTCGCAGGTATTCAGAACGATGCAGGAAGTCGCCAAGAAGGCCAAGGGAAGATCAGGGGAAGAGAGAAGAGAGATCAGTGTGAACATAGCAGCAGAACAGATTGGGGAGGGAGGATCACTCCTGAGGTTCAGCTCAAGGGACAGACACCACAATGCTGATCTGCCTTCAGCTGCCTCAGCTGTCCTGCAGGATTGCCTCATTAGCCCTCTGCTTCAGCTCTGGATACTGGCTAGCAGCCCCCTTGAGTTGAGGAAAAGGGTCTCTCCCTGGCCAAGCCCACCCTTGAAGCCAGGTCATGTGACATACCACCTAATGTTGCCCTGCCCTACCCGGGGCTGCTGGGTGGACAGTGGCTGCTGGGCTGAGCACTGGGAGCCACACAACGAGCTAAATTGCTATGTGGAGCCAGGCTGGCATGGTCTCCCCTGTGGGTTCCTATTTGTTGGGACAATAATGGCTGATGTCAGCGAATCTGAAGACCATGGTCAAGGGAAGCTAAGCCTGGCTCCTGGGGCTGAGTTGGCTGAGGGCGTGGCTTGCATGGCACACACTAAGTGCTGCTGAGGCCTCACTCTGGGGCTGGCACACTCAGTAAAGACATCTTGGGAATGGTCAACCACTTCTAGGGGGACAGGCAGCTTGTGGTCACGTTCTCTAACAATTCTCACAGTGGGTAAATTCTGCTGCTGCTTGTCTCCCTGCTCAGCTAGGCTAAACTTGAGGAAACAGCTAGAAGGTTAAAACCTCTAAGAAGACAAAGGCCTTGGGGGATGTAACACATGTGTTTAAGTCCCCTCAACTCCTCACAGGCCCCAGGGCTGGACGTGACAAATCATGACCCATCTGGGCTGAGAACACCCAGCTAGGGAGAGAGGAGCCCACCCGGGGCACCTCTGGGTTATTCCGGCCGCACACAGGGGAAGCCGCACACACACTGAGCCATGCACAGCCCCATCCTTCCATGCTTGGGGCCCAGGGATGTGCAGTGTTGAGCTCCGTGTCCAGGAAGCGTCTCAGCCAAGAGGGGCTGGAGCCCATCTAGAACTGACAAACCTTTAGGGAAATTATCGGGTTGGAGTACAGAGCTGCTAGCATGCCACTTGGATGCTCCTGGTTCGGGAGGCAAAGGAGGGAAGCAGAGATGGGGTCACACGGGCAGGAGAGAGCCCACAGACCTCCTGGCAACACTGCCCCATACCAGGGACCTCCCACTCGTTGCCTAGCCCTTTCCTTTCCCGCTAGACAAGAGGTAGGGACTAGCCAGGCTGTCCTGGAGACCTGTCAACCCTCCCACCTCTGCCCACTCCCTAGAAAGCCAGTAATCAACTAGGTTCCCCAGACTGCAGGCCTTGGACTGCAGGGCTGAGCGGCAGAGGCCTGTCCTCCCAGACCTGAGCTTCTCTACACGCTCAATGACACACTGCAGAAGCTCTTGCAGTTGGGTTGTCTGTGCCAGGGGTGGGGGATGTTGTATTTCTTTTGGATAATAAAACCATCTTGCAAGACCATCGTTTCAAATAAACACAGCTGGCCTTCTATTGTTGTATCAGGATCAGGCTGGCCGGAACAGCAGGGCCTTGCATCCCTGAAAGCACATGCCTGTGTGACTGCTGGCCTGGCCTTCAAACCTATTCCTACCTCTGATACATCAAACCCAGCACAGCCTCTCTCTAGTCCAAAGACCCAGGTGGCAGCAACTCCCATGGTTTTCTGTGTTCTAGAAGCTGGACAGAGGCTGGCCATACTAGCCACACCTTTCCAGAGACACTGAAGAATCAAGTACATTCTGAGCCTGGTTTATGTCGGGGATAGGGGTGTAGTTAGGATCTGTGATGGACTCTCCCCTGCCCAGCTGTAGCAGGAGCCAAGGCAATAGATTGTGTCTTTCTGGGTACCCTGAAGTCCCTATGGATGGAAGGTCACCTAAGATGCTCTTCTTCATACTTGCTGCCTAGGCATGAACATGACAGAAGTGGTCTACGGGTCATTTCACTGTGTCCCACTGGGGCTTCAGGGGGGAATGAGGGAAGGGCTCTGTTTGCCTCTCTCCCCAGCAGGAGCTCTGCTGTCAGTGCACAAGTGAACCTCGGGTTCCCTATGCTTAGAAGAGGCCAGGACAAGACAGGATCAGGAGGGGCCGGGGAGGCGCCATCTCAGTGCAGAAACACCCTACCCTCACCATTAACGTTCCTGCTGAGAAGGGCTTCCTGTGTTCTTAACAGGCAAGATACTCACTGCACAAAGGATGCAGCGGCCAGATGACCTCCCCTCCTGGAGAGTTGGGTCATTTGAAACCATGACTAACTCAAAAGTCCCTCCTATTTGCCCAGGACTGCCATACAAGCAGACATAGTTATGTGTGCACACGCATGCTTGTGTGCTCACACACAGACACATACACACACACAGACAGGACAGAGAGGCAGCACCCAGACCCATGCATGCCTTCTGGCCAACCGAGGGCAAAGTGACACACACTTTCAAGAGACTCTCAGACACTTGTTCATCAGACAAACATGGCCACATGAGGCCGGTTCCATGAAAATGGACACAATGACCTCCAGGACACTGTGTTGAAAGCAAGTTGTGGTTAGCTGTAGGGTGGACCACACTGGACATCACACACAGGGGTGCAAGTTGTCCCCCTCCCCCCAGGTAATGGCTGGGCTTCAGGATGGACAGAGCACCCTCAGCTTGAAGCATCACTTACCCGGTGTGGGTACTCGCCACACTGACCCTAGGGAGGGAAGAGAGAGGAAGAGAGGGGTGTTAGGCATTTATTAGGGGGCTCTGTACCCTCATAACCCTCATGTATCTCACCCACTCGTGCCACTGCTCTGCTTTGGGCCCTCTGAGGCAGAAGAAGTGATCCCCACTTTCTTGCTGTTAGCAGGCAACAGGAGGAACTCCTTACAACCTGCTTGGGGAGGCTCCACGGGTGCAGGGATAGGACCCCACCACATGCCACCTGCCACGGTGGTAGGATTAGGAATTACTTCCAGCTTGGTTGTCAGCCTGTGCCCTTTAATCCCAGCACTGAGAGTTTGAGTCCAGCCCGCTCTACAAGAGTCCCGGGACTGCCAGGGCTATTGTACAAAAAAAAAAAAAAAAAAAAAAATCCCTGTTTTGAACTGCACCCCCCACCAAATGTTCATGTCACAGAGTAAAGGAACCCTGTGGGATGGCAGGTGGAGAGCGCCAACGTGCACACAGGTTTCAGACTCAAGCCTGACATGTGAGGGTCTGTCATGGTTTTTCTCTTACATACTGGGTTTTCTCTGGGGTTTCCATAAAGCTCAGGTCTACAAGGGCCACTGTGACCCCTTTCTGCCTAATGGAAGGCTTTTCCTGCAAATCAGATCTAGGAAGCCTCAACTGTACTTACCTTTTCTCCCTTTTGTCCCTGAGGTCCCTAAAAAAAGAGAAGGAAATGACAGTGTCAGGGTTTAAATCCCAGGCCACATGGTCCCTAGACTCCCTGCCGGGGAAAAGAGGAGCTACCAACCGGTTGTCCTCGGGGACCCACCAGGCCCTGTGGAAGAAAAAACATGTGTCAGCAAGTGGTTAGATCAGGGTCACATGCCTGGTTGTGTTGGGACAGATCCTGGGCTTCTAGGAGTTTCTCAGACTGTCCCAAAGTCCTATAGGTCAGGACTGTGTATGTCCAACTCATCTAAGATGGTATGACCTTATATGCCAAGGCTCAGTGGGTGTGGCCAGTTGCTGCCTGTCCCCTTCACTCATTCCTCCAGCCACTGACATCTCATGGGAGGCTTGGATGTTGGGGTGTTTTTCTCTGAGGGACCCTGCAACCTGCATTTGGGACCTCAGGAGATCCCAGCACAGTCTGCCTCCTGCTGTCCTGACCACTGAACCAGAAAGGCTTGGGGGCATGGGTAGGACAGACACATTTTGAGAGGCCCATCGTACAGACAGGAAGCTGGGATAGACACCCTAATCCATGCTCTAAGCTCCTTGGAAGACACAAGGGGACGTGGCATTTCAGTCAAGGTTGCCTTATCATTTGGTTCAGGGAAGCAGCAGGGCTCAGCGTGTGGTGGGCTTTCAGAAGGCGGCCCTGGTTGAGGAGACCCATACTGATGTGCAGGTAAGAGAGCGAGAGAGAAGCATGTGTGAGCTGACTCCTCTGGGGCAGGCTCTGAAGACCCTCATGAGAGAGAAGAAGGGGCTGACACCACCTCTGCCTCCCAGTGCCAAGAGAATGGCAGTGTTCACACCTGGCTCAAGGTGTGACCATGGAAGGTTAGTCATTTCCAGTCCAACACACTCTGAATTTGAACCCTTGCCTGAGCTTCTGAGGTTGCTGTTAGCCCTATGCTGGCCTATAGGGAGTGTCAGTCTCTGGGCCCCTGGGCATCTGGGTATGGCAAGATGTGGATAAGGGTCTCTCTCCTGCTTCAGACTCATAACTTTGAGCAGGCTCACAGTGGCAGGGCTTGAGAGTGGTGGGACAGCTCAGGGGAAGCCACTGTGGGAAAATAAAGAGCCACCATCTCCTAGGGACTCCCTCCCCTGCCCTTCAGAGCGCTGATGTCATCATGTTGGAAAAGGCTTGCCTGTGCAGTCTGGGAGTGTGGGCTACTTACTAGTTGACCTGCTAAGCTACGTGACACAGGTCAAGTGTGATACTTTGGATGTCTCTTGTGCAGAGAGGAAAGGCTTGCCACGACTCCCTGTGTGGTGTGGAGACTGAGGGCCTGGGGGTGTACCCAGCTGGGGGATGACTGTGACAGGCAGGCTCTGTCCCTTTGTGGGAGTGATCTGTCTTGCAAAGGAAAAAAAATAGAGGGGCTTACCGTCTCCCCTTTGGGTCCGGGGTGGCCCTGGAAGAAAAAGGGTTTCATGTACATTGTTTAAACACACAAGCCCTCGCCTCACCTGCCCCAACATGTTCCTCATACATGACAAAGCTAGCTTCATTCCTTTCTCACAGGTCACTTGTCACTCACTCATCTGCTCAGACCCTAATCTGCATGCAGGTTGACTGGGTCAAGGTCAGGGCCATTTTCCCTTTCACTTTCCCTGTCATATGAGTAGTCACCAGCTCTTCAAAGGAGAACAGAGGTGAGGCTGTCTCCCTGGACCCCAGCTACATCTAATATGTGTATAAACACACACACACACACACACACACACACACACATATACACACACACACACACACACCCACACCATTAGCAAAGCCAGTTTTCTTTCTATGGAAAATATCTTTCAATGACCTGGGGTGTAGAAGGACCAGGAGCCCCAGGTGAGTGAGCCAGGCAGAGGCAGGACAGAGTCCAGCTCAATGGTCTACTTACCCCAAGATTCCACTTACCGGCTTGCCGTCAAGACCAATGGGACCCTGTAAATAGAAAGGCCAGATGCAAAGACCAAGCTCCTCAGGCCTCCTGCTCAGGAGGCAGCCTGGGCATTGTGTGCTCCTTGAGAGCTAACATTGGTCAGCACTGAGGCAGCTGCTCCCCTGGTCCTCCCCTCAGCTCCTATCTGGGCTCCATGGGCAAGGGTTAAAGGATACTCCAGTGGGCCACCCTACTGCCACTTCCCTGGTAGGCCTCCGTTCAGTGCCGGACAGGAGGTCAATCAGTTCACTTCCTTGGCCCACCATCTGCCCACATCCTGCTATTAAACGGCATGTATCAGTTACAGATCACTCACTCAGTTCTTGCCACCACTATGTGGATATCTCTGTCCTTCCTTGTAGCAGGAGCCCGGAGCCTGGCCCTGAGCTACTGGCCCACGAAAGGTCATAGAATGGGCCCTTACTGCTTAGGAATCAGGAGGGAAAATGTAGCCTCAGGGATCATCTTGGTGGATACAGTTTAACCCAACCAGGCCCAGGACCTACCTATCTCTGTTAACCTGAGCCCCCTGCACTTACCGGAAATCCAGGAAAGCCCCGAGTGCCCGGCTGGCCCTGTAAAGAACAGAGCAGGGGGGATGAGTGAGGAGAGGTCGAGTCAAGCCTATCCTTCAGATTCATCTCTGTGCCCATCCCTGACTCTGTTATCACCTGTGAGAGATGGCCTGGGAGGCTGGGGAGGAAAAAAAGGGAGCATCAGTGCAGCTTCTGCTGGGACCAGGCTGAAGAGGGGGATGAGAGCAGCCAGCATTCTTCGGGCCTATTTCTAAAGTAACCTGGGATGCTTCTCACTTCTCAGGCACCTTGAGCCTTGACATGTGAAGAGACAATAGACCAATGGGACAGGCAGGGCAGTGGAGGCTTACTCTGAATTGCACAGAAGTTCTGGACCAAGACTGGGTCTGTTTTCTTGATTGACAGGCATTACTCATGGCCACTAAGCTAAGGATGGCTTCAAAGTCTGCAGAACTTGACCTTCACTGTGTATGTTGTTTTCAGACTAGAATGGGTCAGACTGCTCCTGTTCCACAGGCTTCTCCCGGCAGCTGAGCAATCTCTGGATGTTCTTGTCTCTCAGGGAGGAGAGACATTCAGGTGCATTTCCTTAGGGGTGCAGAATGCCACAGAGACTGTTGGCAACTAGAAGTATGTTTCCTGGTCACAGCCCAGTGGCTAATGGTCAGGATTCCCAAGTAACACAAAACTGTGGCTGCAAGCTGAAAGGCTTACCCCAAGGTCAAGGGTAACAGAGCTGAGAAACCTAAAGCCTGGCCACTTCCCTCCCTGGAAGCATTCTCTGCCACTCATGTGATTCAAGTCTCCAGCAGGATGGCTCAGCAGGTAAAAACATTGCCATTAAGTCTGATGACTTAGTTTGATGCCTAGGACTCATACAGTAGAAGGAGGAAATTGACTCCTGTAAGTTGTCATCTAACTTGCTTACACACACACACACACACACACACACACACACGCACACACATCCCACACAGAGAAATGTAATAAAAATTTGTGTTTTGTTTTGTTTTTGAGACAGTCTCCCTATGTAGCTCTGGCTATCCTGGAACTCACTCTGTAGAGCAGGCTGGCCTTGAACTCACAGAGATCCATTTGCCTCTGCCTCCTAAGTGCTGGGATTAAATGTGTGTGCCACTATACCTTCATAATTGTTTTTAAATACAAAGCCATACTCCACTGCCTCACTGTGACCTGGTTACCTCTTTTCCTGTCTCCTCTATGGCTCTGCTGCCTGCCCAGGAACAGTGCCTCTCCTGCTGTTCCTGAACGATAAGCTACCTCTCATCTTGGGATACCCTCAGCTTAGATGGACTCTTTGCTGGTATGGACTGTGGGTCTGGCAGGCTGAGTTCTAACCCTGCCTTCATCAACAACTGTGTGACACACAGCCATTGTATAACCTCCCAAGCCTCAGTTTCCCCATTCCTAGAATGAGAATAACCATGTAATTTCATCAGGTCACGAACTACCAATTATACTTGAAATGCTCTGGAAAGAGAAGCTGCACCATCGGGCACTTGCTGAATTAAGCTGACTAGAGGGGTACCAGAAACCAGCCAGACTGCTTGTGTTGACTGTAGGCATGAGTACATGTTCATGTGTGTGTGCCCACGTGTATGTAGCTACGAGCCTAGAGGCCAGTGTGCAATATTGTGTCTTCCTCTATTGTTCTCCTCATGAGTTTCGAGGACAGTGTGTCTCTTTGCAGAACGCAGAGCGCACTGATTTGGCTAGACTAGCTGGTCAGTGACTTCTGGGGATCTTTCTGTCTCTATCTCCGGTCTGTGGTTTCAGACATATGGTTCCATAGTGCACGGATTTAAATGTGCATGTTAGAGACCAGAACTCAGGTGCTCGCTGCTTGCAAGGCAAGCACTTACTCACTGAGTCATTTCCCCAGCGTCTAGGGATCCGAGGAGGTCTTAAGCAAGAAGCAGTTCCAGAACAAGATCCTTCCCAGGGGCTAGTTTCCCTGAACTCATGTGCTGTGATCCTGGAATATTTCCAGGCTCCTGGATCCTTTCTGAATCTAGGGATGGAGGTACCCAGAAGCCTCTGCACAGAAATCATGTCACCTTTCTGGTCAGGTATCATAAGACCCCTTAGTCATGTCAGGATAAGGTGCTGATCCATAGGGAAACTAACCAGCTGAAGTCAGCTGCAGGCTCAGGGTGGACTTGTGGCAAGTGTCCAAAGGCAAGGGCGCAGAGACACCACTCATATGTCAAAGGCCCTGGCCCCTCTCCTCTCAAGGGTAAGTGATGCTAAGAATAGACCTAAGGAGAAACCCGGAAACCATTGCAAAGTAATCTCTGAAACCTCCCAAATGTAAACGTTCTGCAACTGCTCTGGACATGGAGAAACCTGAGGAAGAGGTCAAGAGGGAAGGGTTCCAAGAAGCGTGCGTCTTCATAGCCATCTCAGCTGATATTTACGCGGCTGGGATAATCACAAGCTCTGCTAATTACAGAGCCTGCTCCGGTAAGCAGGGTGCAACCTTCCAGGCCAGGGCCAAGTCCGGGACTAACCAAGGCTTTTTCAAGACTCTGGGGAGAAATGTTGTCATTGACCACATGGAAATGGGATTCTGCTTCCTGGAGAGGCTGAGCATGGAGAAAGCAGTTGGGGAGACTTACAACTGGACTGTAATTTACATCTCAATTTATGCTGAGCTTACAGCCTCTTCCAATGTTCACTGGTCACGCTGACTCCAGGGTAGGGAGCTGGCTGTTTGAGGCAGCATATTATTATGGTGTACATTTAATATACTATACTAGTATTATATATTATTTATGTAACATGTATTATGTAAGTAGTATAAACAAGCAAATATATCTGAGGCAGGATCTCTGTCATCCAGGCTGGCCCTAAACTCCTGAGCTCAAGTGATCCTCCTGTCCCAGCCTCTTGTGTATGTAGGTACCGTCCTTTCCTGGGACGGTAGGTATGCCAATGCCTGGCTTGTTCTACTCTTTTCTGTTTATCTTTCCTGATCTGGTCTGCTTAAGGCTATTTGCTAAGGACACCTCCTTGCAAAGGCTATCTAACTATCTAAGGCTAAATTCACCTTTTGTCCTTAAATTGATTAAAGTATATTTATACTAACCCAGGATTGACATGTTTATTCGGACAAACTTTCCCTGTGGCTTTTGGATTTTTTGCCATGCTCAAAAGGGCCTTCCCACTGGGAATTATCAAACATTTATTCATATTACGCTCATATACTTCATGGTTTCATGTTTGACATCTTAGCATTTTGTTGTTATTCTTTCCTTTTTTTTTGGTTTGGTTTTCTGAGACAGGGTCTCATGCACCTCAGCTGCCTGGAACCAACTATCTAGATTAGGTTGGCTTTGAACTCCTCCTGATCCTCCTGCCTCCATCTCCGAAGTGCTGACCTTATAGGTGCACACCACCACACCCAGGTTACGTCTGAGAATCTTACTCATGGACAGAACGGGTGAATAGATTCACTATCAAGAAAGAATCAGGGGCTGGAGTGGTGGCTCAGCAGGAAAAGCCCTTGCTGCATACAACTGATGGCCGGACTTTGATCCCTGGAACCGACAGCTGGAAGGAAAGCACAGACTCCACCCATCTGTCCTCTGACCTCCACATGCTATACATCATGGCAGACACACACACACACACACACACACACACACACACACAGAATCAAACTTTTTTCTTCTATTTGCCTTTTCCCACAGGACCTGTCACATGCCTCAACATCCATTCCAGAACAATCCACCTTTCTCTTTCTACTATTAAACGAGGCTCTTATAACAAACCAAATTCCCTCGGGTATTTGGTTTTGTTTCTTGTTCTTCTCTTCTGATCTAGCCATTTGTCTCAGTTGCCCTGCTCTTTTCCCTAATGTAGTCATGAACTTACCTTTCTTTCTGAAATAAAGGCAGCATTTGATTGGACAACCAGGATGAGACACACATTACATTTATGGATAAAGGACGTATACATGATAAGGGAAAATAAGATAAATCCACCCATCTCTGAAATTCATCTTGCTCTAAGTACCTCCCTCTCGAGGCAGCATCTGCTCCTCCTCCTGGGGAGTGTACCACCATGCACGGGAAGGGTACTGCCATGGACCATGTGCCTCAGAAATGTGGGGTGTCCAAGACGTCTTCTCTTCTAAAATCCCTTTCTATTGTCGCCAAAACTCACCGTGGCCACCTCTAAATGGCGTGCATGCACACAAACACACACACACAATCAAATACATATCTGGAGCAGGATATTTAAACAGCACTCACCTGCCACTTCTGTTCAATATGCTCCTCCTGTACTATTGTGTCCCTCATCCACTAAACACAACCCATGAGCACCCACACCTTGGGATACATTTCCTGAGTATCGTGTCCTTTGTGCAAAGCCCTTGCTGGCCCTTCCAGCCTTGCTTTCCTGTCCAGTCCTTTCCAGGTGCTTCTCCCGACTTAGGAGCTTGGCACCCCTCCTGACCTTCCTTTCCTGGTGAACTCTGTAAGACTGTGAATGTAGTCCAATCACCCCTTCCTCCTACAGTCTTTCCTTCTGGACATGGCCTGAGCACCATAATTCCCTTCCTCCATGTACCCACTATTCCCTGCCACATGGCAAATGAGATGGCTATCAAGCAGTCAGACTCCTGTCATCTCCCCTGCACCTGGCAGGCATCCAGCAGATGTGTCTACCTGTCGTAGGGGAGAGCGGGAGCCCATGGAGGAGAGGAGCCCCTTGACAGGCAGTCATCCCTAACTTGGTCACAACCTGCCTAGTGTGCCTTGGGGTCCAGCTCCCACTCTGTGTCATGGGGCTCCTGTGAGGACACCCAGACACTGGATTCCACCCCTCCGTGCCACTGGAAGGGGGTCATCCTTCTCCAAGTGCCTCGCTGGCCCTTCTGTTTGGACTATTGATGAGGCTTCCGAAGCGTGGGTGGGGAGCCCTTAAGGATGGCAAGGCTGGTTCTGATGAGCCGTATTTATTCAGGACACATGTTCCCATGTCTCCAGCTGCCACCTAGGACTTGCCTGCTTGACCTCAGCTCTTAACGTCAAACAGATCTTTGTCGGCCTATCTCATGCGCCCACCAGGGGGGTGTAGCAGTGGCAACTGAGGGGCAGTTTGGTATCACGCAGCTACGGTGGTTTCACCACCTGGCTGATGATCAGTGGCCAATGTCAGAGGACTCTGTCCTGGCATGAAGCATTGCCAGCACCAATGGAGGCACCAACAAGGACTGTCACATTTCCCTGAAGGCGAAGATCCTTTATATACAGTGACACTTCAAGCTGGAAGGGAATGTTGGGATAAAATGCCCTTATCACCCAGAAGCCTGATAACCACTGTGGGCACGAGATTCCCAGGCTACTCCTGGGATTTGTTGGGCAGTCGGGGAGAATACCTCCAGCCTGTGCTGGAGGCCTAGCGTATAATTATATATAGTGCCTGTCACTGTGATGTCATCTTGTTCCTTTACTCCAGCAATTCTCAACCTGTGGGTAGAGACCCTTTTGGGGGTCGTATATCAGGCATCTAGCATATCATATATTTACGCTATGATTCATAACACTAGCAAAATTACAGTTATGAAGAAGCAATGAAAATAATGTTATGGCTGGGGGTCACCACAACATAAGGAACTGTATTAGAGTAGCAGCATTAGGAAGGCTGAGAACCACTGCTCCTTTACTGTACTTTCCCATCATCCTGCTCTCTCACTGTGCTCCCTGCTCCCCGACGTGCCCTTATCACGTGGCAGGTTCCTCATGTTCCTCATCAGAGAAAGGGAGGTCCACGCCCACACAGGACCCCAGCCAAACCCCTTCTCAGTGGGCCTGTTTCTGCTTCGGAGAGGCTCTTCTAGACTATGCCGAATCCTGCTCCCTCCCTGACACAGGCTTCATTGAAGCTTTGTGAGTGGGTACCTTGGGACCTCACTCATCCTCCTCCCTGAAGCTGTGGTATCTTGCTGGATCCATCACCCACATTCCAGGCAGTCCCTAAGGATGCATGTCAGAGGGAAGTCGGGAGGTGCTAGTTAACTCAGAGGACCTGGTACTGACAGTGAGGAGGAGAAAGCTTGGAGGGCGGGCTGGGGCTTCACCAGGAGCGGGGTGCTGGGGTCAGTGAACCTGGACTTCGTCATCTGCTCCTGGTTTTGGGGAGCTGAGATTAGTTCCAAAGAAAGCTGGGCACCCGCTTAGGCCAGGCAGCCCTCTTCCTTCGTGTAAACAACGGCAACCGCCGCTCCTGCCTCCCAGCTGCTGGAGTCTTGTGGCTAGAGGCTAGGCTAGGAGCCCTCCCTGGAGTCAGTAATTTAGGTATATTTAGTCAGCCCACTCTCTTTAACATCAACAGCAATGCTGAGAAGCAACGCCACACGGGATGGCCGCACCCAGAGGCCCACACCAAGGCTCACCCTTATCCCCTAGAGATCTTTTCATTAACTTTTCCAACCTCCATAACCACCCCCCCCCCCGCCAAAAGAACAGCAACAACTTACAGGGGGGCCTCGAGGCCCGATGATGGACATCCCCGCATCTCCAGGGGCACCCTGTGGGGAGACAGAGGGTGTGTGGAAGGGTAGGCAGAGGGGAAAATGGTGGGAAAAGGAAGCAAAGGGGGGCAGGGGAGCTGGCAGTCAAGGGAAGGGATGCCAACCCCACAGACCAAAAGGGAGGCCAGAGATTAGTTGAAAACAGGGGCCCAAAGGCGGTGATTGGAACATCCCACAGGGGCTGAGAAGGGCAGTGGAAGCAGCAGACATGAAGAGATGTGGGTGGGAGAGGACAGTGGGCTTGGGAAATGCAGAGAGCGGGGTCCATGCCGCTGAGAGGCAGGAAGGGGACACAGGAAAAGGTGTGCTTCAGTGGTGAGAGTCCACCTGTTTCTCCTGGTAGCACACCCTACGATTGTTAAACAGGAACTGTGAGAACGGACAGCCAGGACATATGATACACTGGCTTATGGTTTCTGCAGCCCCGAGCCCAAAGGCTGATGATGGTCTCAGATGTCCCAGGGAAAGCCACAGAAGGCTGAAGGCTGAGCCCAGGCTGAGCCCCTCCGGCGTGTCCTGGAGCTAGCTGGCTGGAAGCCCTTCGAGCTATCACAGGTGGCTGAGGCAGCTGGATAAATGCGGATGTGGGTGTGCAGGGACTGTAGCAGACGAAAGAGGGGAATGAAATGCCCAGGGCCCTGAGTTAAAGTCATGGCAGCTTTCTGAGCTTACACAACCTCTGCCCCCCGCCTCCCCCGAGAGCTGGAGCTTGGAATGCTCTATAGCCCTTGAAGGGAAGGGATCGAAATGTATTTTTTAAAATGTCCTACCTCACACACAGGCAAGCAGTGATTTCAAGCTAGCTTTGTAGCACTGTGAGGTGGCAGAGAGGACTTAGGGCAAAATGCATGCTTTGAAGGGCAACTCAGCCATCCCAAGGAAATTTCTTGGGATAACACTGGAAAGTGCTTTGAAGCACCATGTGGTCTGGGGAAGGAGACATGTCTTTCCTGGGCAGTTTCCCCCCTCAGAGGATGGGACCAATAGTCCTGTTTCATTTGGAAGACCTCCCAGTCCTATGAGCAGCAGCCTCAGCCTTGGAGTCAGAGCACACAAGCTTCTCTCCAGCTCTGCTGCCTTCTAGCTGTGTGACTGTGGCCATCTGACTTTCCTTCTCTGGGCCTAATGCTCAGAGTAAAGCTTCCAGGAAGGGCTGTCAGTGTCAACTGAGCCAACCGAAACAAGAACACTCACAGCGTGCCCACTGCTGAGGAGCCACCGCTTTGTTAGCATTTGTTCCTTTGGAGATTAGATGTTCTGTTGCAGTAAAGTATGTGTGCAGCACCTGTGTGTTTGTGTGTCTGTCTGTGTGTGTGACTATGTTACGTGTGTCTGTGTCTATGTGTGTGCATCTGCCTGTGTGCCTGTGCATGTGTGTGCGTGCATGTATGTTTAAGTATGTGTGTGTGTTGGGGGGGGGGGTCTTCTGCCTGTAAATCCAGCTCTCAGTAGGCAGAGGTGGGAGGCAGGAAGATCACTGTAAGTTTCAGGTCAGCTTGGGACTTCTAGGCTAGCCTAGGCTACAAATCAAAACCCTGTCCAAAAAAAAAAAAAAAAAAAAAAAAAATTCCACAGGTGCCCAGTGTCTGCGAGGAGGGAAGAAAAGAAAAGCTGAGGATCAGGACTCTCAGCTTCTAGTCCCTGCTCATGTTACTGCTGGGGATTTTGGACAAACTTCAGTCTATCTCCCTGGGTCTTGCTTTCCCCTCTGATTGGATAAGTTACTCTGAAATCCCCAGAACTCGCCAGGCTGCTCTTTCCAGGATGTCCCCTCCCTCGACCCAGGAAAAATGGAGGGTCCTCTCTGGGACTCTGGGGTCCCCCATAGGCAGTCTAGCTACACAGCAGTGATAAGCCAGTCTCTTCCTTGGGGGTGGGTGAAAGCCCACAGCTAGGAATTGGAGCAATGGCCCTCCGCATGTGGTTAAGGCAGGGCAGGACAGACTCATGAGCTAGGACAGCGGGAATCCCAGGCCCCACACCAGGGTGTGCAGGGTGTTAGCCTAAAAGCCTCCCGGTGAGAGAGAAGGCTGGGATAAAGATGGAAGGGGCAGCAAGGACTCACCTTCTCGCCTGGTTGACCTTTGATACCCTGGGCAGGCAGCCCCATGAAACACAGGGCACAGGGAAGAGAGATGGGGGCGAGAGAAAAAAGAGGGTAAGAGGCAGACACGGACACAGGAATCCGTGTTAATGGCACAGCAACTGAACAAAAGAAATGGCCGTGAAATAAGAAACACAGCAGGACAAAACACAGATGCAGACACGCGACGGCCCTCTCAGCCAGCAAGCGAGGCCAGCTGCTCTTCATCACCGGGAGGGAAGCAGTGGGCCCTGTCCAAGTGCTGCGTGCATGAGCGAGGCGAGGGGGTGATAGCCCCAAACCAGCCAGAAAATCTCTCTGAGAAACCAAGGCCATGGGGAAGACGTTTCCATAATCACGAACCCCAGGGACTCTGAAGGCCCCTCTGAGCACCAAGTACTGAGCCTTTCTAAATGAGGTAACACTGGGACCATGAGGGCTACCCACGCTCCGTGGAGGGAAAGCTAGAGGCATGTGGAGTGGTGGCCAGAAGGTGACTCTAGGGCCTGGGTGGCTCAGGCCTGTAATCCCAGCTACTTGGGAGACTGAAGCAGAAGAATACAAGTTCAAGGCCTCCTTCAGCTAGAGACTGAGTTCAAGACCAGGTAGGGATAACTCTGTGAGACCCTGTCTCAAAGCCTGAAGAGCGTTGAGGATCAAACTCAGTGGTAGGATGCTTGCCTCATATGCTCAAAGCCCTACGTCCAATCACCAGCACTACAAAAAAAGGTAGCCGGTGGAAAGAGGTGGGAGACACCAATTCTACAAGGACGTTGGATGAGAATAAAGCTAGACACCCAGCCAGCAGTCCGTCATTACTACGGTGGCCAGCAGACAGGCAGCCTCGGTCTACCCAGCTCCCCACAGGCCAGTGGCGCCACCTCTGGTGAAGTATGGGAATGACCCAGGAATTTCACACCTACTGGTCTTTGGACACTCTAGTCCTTACCATGGCTTATGCCAGGATCCCTAGTGAGCAGCCAAATGGGCCATTCCACATTTAAAACAGCGCCAGCAGTGAGAAGTTCCAAAGCGGCTGGAAAGCAGCACTGCCCTGGAGGTGGGAGCCTTCCGGTGGTGGGGGCTCTCCAGCCTCTCCCGTTGCCACCACACAGGAAGCTCAGGTGGGGGAGGGCAGGAAGGAGGAGCCGGAAGTACATGCTGCACTCGGCAGAACTTCCTACAGGCCAGCTGCTGCACCTAGTGTGGGGTGGGGGTTGGGGGGAGGGAGAAGGGAGTGAGCTCCCAACACTTTACCTAATGGGAGCAAGCACTGTAGGCCAGTTGACTTGAGTACAAAAATCAACTCTATTTTACCCATAAAATGGGAATGAAGGCCTTTGCTTTACTTAGGTGCGCACACTGCAATCCATCCAGCTAGACTGGCAGGGCAATGTCTCATCTCTGGGTGGGACCCAGTGATAGACAGCACAGATGGACCCGTGTCTGATGTGGATACGGCAGGCAAAGGGCACAGGGTCCCGGTATAGAATCGATGTGAGGACTCCATGGAGGGGGCCAGGGCTCTCACACCGACAGGTCTTGAGGGCCTTACGACACTGAGAATGGCACCACGCTGGTTATACGCACTGACTGTTTTTCCACACTCAAGCCTTGTTGAGTGTGTGTATGGAGGGGCAGATGAGGCAGCAGCAGACAAGAGCTTTGAGGTTGCTGAGATCATCCTGAGAGACCACTCGGGGAAAGCCTACACCAAGAACCTGGTAGATGGTGGGCGAAATGGTGTGGACTAATGTGACCCCCGAGCACCAAGAAGGTGGCCTCACAGCTCATAGGCTGCATGAACTCTAGAATGTTCCATGCCTCCGAGGGACGGGGAGCATCTGTTTAAAGTCAACCCCTCCTTTCAGCTGTGTGTTATGGCTGGATTGCCAGAGTCAAGGTTGGAGCCCTGTTGCCTGCCTCAAGTATCTGCTCACTCACTTCCCAGCGCGTAGCCTTGAGAAAGACGTTTATTTACCTTCTTCTTCGATTTGATACTGGGGGTGGGGTGGGAACTGTACCTCTCTGTGTGCAGTTCTCACGAGGACTGAATGAGCTGATTTGTGAAAGCTCTTTGGTTCAATTCCCAGCACGATGTCGGCAGTAGCAAGGGGTTGCCTAAGCTTTGGGTACCCAACTCCCTGCTGGCTCCAGCCGTGCAAAAATCACACACAAATGCCGCAGCCATGCTTACGGCCAGTGCCAGCACAGAGAGGAGAGTCAGGCAAAGCCAACAACGATGGCGGTGGGAGCACGCTGGAGATGATGCTGGTGGGAAGTTAGCGGTCAGAGGAGGGGGCAGCCTTGCCTATGTCAGTGTCCTGGCTACATCCTAATTCAGGAATGCCCTTTATCACCTCAGGCGCTGTCTAGATCAGTGATTCTCAACCTTCCTAATGCTTCAAACCTTTAACACAGTTTGTGTTGTGGTGACCCCCAACCATAAACTTAATTTCATTGCTACTTCATGACTGTAATTTTGCTACTATTAGGAATCATGATATAAATATCTGATATGCAGGATCGTCTCAGGTGACCCCTGTGAAAGGGCTGTTTGACCGACCCCCAAGGGGGTTTTGACACGTGGGTTGAGAATCACTGGTCTAGACCCTGGAGCCCTTCATCCTGACCCCGGTGCCAGGGACTCAATGCCTGGAGCCAGCCTTCTCATATCTTCTGACCAACCATTCTCATCTCCCTTTAACTCTTTCATCGCTTTTCACAGATGGAAAATTTAACTGAATTCACCCTTAAGAGGACCTGGAAGAACTGCCTGGAACCAATGAACTGCTTTCACTGTTTCTGTACATCCATCGAGGACACCCAGGGGAGATAGTGGCTGCTCAAGGGACAGCCGCAGAGGCAGCGGGTGCCTTGAGATACTCAGGCCTTACCCCCCCACCCCCGCACATTCAGTGACTTTCTTGTAGTTTTTCCTCTGCTCCCAATAGGTGCCAGAAAGATTGGTTTGTATGGGATCCTACTCATTATATATGTATACCTGTGATAAACTTTAATTTATAAATTGGACACAGTAAGAAATTAAAAATGACAACTTGCAATAAAATAAAATAAGTTTAACAATGTTTCCTAAGAGGTTGGGTCTCTTTTGAAATACCTGACTGCAGTAACTAACGCTATGTTCGCAGATGAACTGTGAGTTGCCATTCTGTGTAGCCTATCTTCCCTTCTCCTTCCTTGGACCTCCTGAAGTTGCCCTGAGCAGCACTTCACTGTGCACAGAAGACAAGCCAGCAAGAAGAAGCAAGCAATGGCCCCCCAAGCAGGGACATGTGTGTCAACTCACCACACGTCCAGGCATCCCGATGGCACCCTTGTCCCCCTGATGAAGGAGGTGGAAACAGTCAGTGTGGATGACACTTGCCAGAGTGTCCCATGTACTCACTGTACACCTGGCTTGGGGACACGGCTAGCCAGCTTTGTTGGGGCAGCTAGGATGACATCTGGAGAGGCACCAAGTGTCACGTGGATGTCACAGATGAACTTCCCGGGAGACCTCAGTAACTAGTGCTAGGACCCCAGTGCCTGGAGCCAGACCTCTTATCTCCCGTGTATAGTTTTCTGCACTCAAGCACGGTGCTAGAGAGTAAGGTGATAGCAGGAGGAGGTCACAAATCTGGACCTCAGTTCCCTTTGGTTGTCTGTAAGGTTCTTTCACCCTTAGGCATCTGTCATTGCAGCTCATCAGCGATAGCAAGAATGGGCCTAGGAGTCATCTTCCATGCTTTAAGGCATAGAGCAGGACAGAGGGGTGAATGACTTCTCTTGGTCTGTAAGCCGGAGCCAGGGAAGCGATGCCTGTGCTCCCCCTGCTCCTCCCTCTCCCCTTCCGGTGTCCTGCCCTGCCCTGCCCCCTCTCCTCACAGGCTGCTTCAGCATGTGGGTTGAGATGTGGGTTGTAGCCAGGGTTACATCCTCGAGCTCTGGAAATACGCTTACAAAGTTTCATTCGTCCCCCTTTCAGGAGAAAATATTTTTTTGTAATCATAAGCATGCAGACCTCATAAAAATCTGGGGCGGGGCCTCAAAGGATGGGGAGCGACAGGGTGTAGAAGGTAAGATGATGTCTGGCCTGCCAGGCAGGAGAGGACTGCTCTGAACTCTCCCCTGGGGTGTGTGTGTGGGGGGGTTCTGGGGGTGACCCTGGATCTGCTGACTCCAAAGAGGCAACCACAGAGGCAAAATGCATCCCAAGCCCCATCCCATATGTGGGAAGCCCAAGAAATGCGGTCAGTTCCTGTTAGGCTTGCACTGTCAAGATCAAGGGCATTGTTCCTTTGCTAAGAATGGCACAGTGCTGGTTGTAAGCTTCGGCTGCCTCACCATCCTCCCTGAGCACCGGCCTTACTGACTGGGAGACGAGGGATAAGAGCTTTGAGGTCCCCGTGAGACACCGCTGCCTCATGCCAAGAACCTGGCATTTGGTAAACAGTGGGCAAAATGGTACTGACTAACGCTGAAACCCACAGCACCTCGGTTCTATATATGTGTTTACGATTCCTGTCCTTTGTGTCCTAACAAAGGGCCAGCACATGTGCACCTGCCTGTGGGTCACCTCAGGGCCCTTCACGTGGAAGCTTAGACCCTCAGCCAGTAGATCTGCCCCTCCCACAAAGGACACGCCAGGCCTGTGCCTGTTGTCAGCTCAGGCTCTGACAACCTCATAGTCCACTCACTCTTGGGCTTTTGAATGATATTGCAGAGTGTGTGTGTGTTGGATTATTTTTCCTTTCTTTTGGAAAATAATGTTCTTTGCAGCCCTGGCCATAAAATGCTCAGGTTAAGGACAGAGTGGAAAGGCCAAGAGGCTGGAAACTCGGCAGCATCCTCCGCTCTGTGACTTGCCTCCTAAATGCCTTTTAAAGGTGGATGTTGTTATAAAAAAAAAAAATTCCTTTCGGTCACCTGACTATCCCCTGCTTAGATTTCACAGGACCGAGTCACCGTCCCCTGAGCTGCAGCCCTGGGAAAACCTCTGCTTTCAAGGCTGAGCGGAGACTTCCACATGCACTTTACTGAGACAGTCACTTGCCGTTGATTCTAGAAGCAGTTGGACTAGTCAAAAGGCCTTCACATAAGGTTCTAGAATCCAATGGAAGTGGCCTTTAGCAAAGGAAGACAGAGGAGATGGGTATGAACATGGATCCCCTGGAAGGGCCCCTTCCCTGCCTTCCTTCCATACCCTGCCTGTCTCCTCCGTGACCTACTTAAAAAAAAAAAAATCTAAGCCCTCTGGATGGCTACAGAGTCTTGTCTGAGCCACACCACAGAACAATGTCTTGGAAGACTTTAAAGATGGTGCTCAAATAAATGTCAGGCATGGGCCACAAGAAACCGCTGTACTTAGTGGCGTGTGATAACCCCGAAACCGTCAACTACTGAAACTCGACAGACCTGGACGATGTATTTTACCCTTCTGAGCCTGAGCCTTGCTTTCCCAACACTAAAATGAATTTGGGAATACCCACTTCTCTGAGCTAGTACTATTTTTCTCTGAGTTATCGATCAATCAGGGTGGGATACCCAGAATGCCTGGCATTTGCCAAAGCTTCCAGAAGAGATGGCTATTCGCATGGCTTCCACCCACTCTTGTCCAAAACCCCTGTGGTCACTCAGCACAGCCTTCTTATGGCAACTGAGGAGAAACAAAGGGCTTGAGTCCGCCTTTCAACAGGTCACAGGAAGACTAGAACAACAGTTTGAATGTCATCTGCCATGAAGAAGGATGGGAATGACCCAAGGGCTGGCCAGTTGCTCCAGTCCCCCATTTCAGAATTATCTATCTGGACAACAGTCCTGTGTTGGGAGTGTCTGCTGCTGAGTCTGCATGTAAAACACCCTAGGGGAAACCGGGCACAGTGGTGCATGCCTGGGATCCCAACACTCAGGAGGCAGAGGCAGGCAGATCTCTGTGTGTTCGAGGACAGCCTGGTGTACAAAGCAAGTCCAGGACAACCAAGACTACACAAAGAAACCCTGTCTCGAAAAACCAAAAACTGAAAACAAACAAACAAAAAGGCAAACAAAACCAAACAACCTAGGAGAGAAACCGAGAGCTGCAGCCATAGACCCTAGACATTCTCCAGTGTTCCAAGGTGGAGGGGAGGGGAGTGGTTTCACTCTCAGCCACAGATTAGGGACTCCAGAAGGAGGTCCCACTCAAAGAACCATGAGAAGAACTGGCCATCCAACCTAGACTGCCAACTGATCGGGAAGGAGTGAGCGCTGGGGGCATAGGGTGTGGCTCTGCGGGAGAGCACGAGAAGCACGCATGGGCCCTGGGCTCTATCCCCAGAGCCTACATGGAAGGGAGGCAGAGAGAGAGAAGAAATGAGTTACTTACTGGGAGTCCAGGCCTTCCAGTGGGACCCTGAAATAAAAAGGTGGACAGTGAACCTGACACAGGTCAGAGTTATGAACAGTTAATGGTGGAATACTGTGCGTCAGCTGTGACCTCAGGAAATTCCCCTGTACTGTAGGAGCTTGTTATTTTGTTAACAAAACAAGGATGGGGCCTTCCTTTATGTCATCCATCCATCCATCCATCCATCCATCCATCCATCCATAAAACCAAGTCACCAGGACCTCCTATATGCCAGGCCTAGGAACAGGAACAGGAACCAGAATGATATGTCCCTTCCCATGACTCAAAGGTCACTAGGGTTGGGCTTTTACTAGCTTACCCCCATCTCTGAGGCCTCCTGTCGTGAAGTACCATTTCTGCCCACTGACCCTGACTGGGAAAGGGTAGGGATAAGAGATAATCAGGGCCCTGTGTTCCCTGTTCCACCACACAGGAGAAGCCAGGGGCAGGGCAAAGCCTGTCATCTGCCATGATGCCCCTGGTACACAGGCCACATCTGTACTGGGGGACTTCCGTTGGTGCGCGAGGCCACGTAAGACACCCTCCCCCCACTTCATGATGGGTCAGCACTAGGGTCGGGGGTGAGGGCTGTCCTGCCTTCCTGCTAGAACACCAGCTAGGCATACATCAACCTGAAGTCATCCTGGCACTTGGGAGGCAGAGGCAAGAGGATAATGAAGTCAAGGCCAACATGAGCTAGAGATAAGACTGTCCCAAAATAAGCAAATGTATAAATAAATAGAAATTATCCAATTATCCAACAAATAGTCTATCAATTATGCTTTCCATTGTAGCAATACACACAGGGAACCCCTCAGGAACCTGAAAAACCCAGAAAGAGTAGTGTTTTTCTAGATCTGGATCCTGACCTCAGATGGGTATGACCCAAGAGGGCTGCCATGGTGCTATGCTAACAGCTGCCTTCTGTCAAGAGGGGAGAGACTTCTGAGGTACTCTTAGGAGCTAAGCCTGCATGGATCACAGGACTAATGTGAAAATGGCTATCTACCAAAAGCAATCTGCAGATTCAATGCAATCTCTGCTGAAACACTAAAACAATACTTCACAGAAACTGAAAAAACAAGTCTTCAACTTCATATGGAAACACACATACACACAAACAACAATAACTAACCCAGGACAGCTAAACCAATCCTGAATAAGAACCGCGGAGGTATCACCATCCTAGATTTCAGACTGTATTACAGAGCTATAGAAATAGAAACAGCATGGTACTGGCTTAAAAATAGACATGTTGATAATGGAATTGAGTTGATCAATGGAATTGAACTGAATATCCACACACAGTTTCACATACCAATAGACACCTGATTTTTGACCAAAAAAAAAAAAAAAAAAAAAAAAAAGGTAAAAAATATATACTGGAGAAGACAGCATCTTCAACAAATGATGCTGGTCAAACTGTTCAAGACTGCACATAGAAGAATGAAAATAGAGCCTTTTCTATCACCCTGCACAAAACTAATTCCAAATGCATCAAAGACCTTAACATACAACCGGACGCCCTGAATGTGATAGAAGAGAAGACCAACAGTCAATGAACGGGACCTTACAAAGCTGATGCGTTTCTGTATGGCAAAAGACACTGTCCTTTGGGCAAAGCGGCAGCCTAGAGTGGGAAAAGGTCTTTACCAATTGTATATCTGATAGAGGGTTAGTATCTAAAATATATAAAGAACTAAAATAAACTGAACATCAGGAAACAACCCAATTTTACAAAATGGGGAAAAGATCCAAAACAGAAAGTTCTCAAAGGATGAAACACAAATGGCTGAGAAACACTTAAATGTTCAACTTCCTTAGCCATCAAGGAAATCTAAATTAAAATTACTTTGAGATTTCATCTCACCCCAGTCAGAATGGCCAAGATCAATAAAACAAATGACAGCTCATGCTGGTGAGGATGTGATGAGGGGACCACTCATCCTGGTGGGATTGCTGGTGGTGGTGCAAACTTGCCCAGTCACTATGGAAATAAGTGTGGCAGTTCCTCAGGAAGATGGAAACTGAGCTACTTTAAGATCTAGCTATACCACTCTTGGGCATATTTCCAAAGGACTCTATATCCTACTACAGAGACACTTGCTCATCCAAGTTCACTGCTGCTCTAATCATAATAGCCAGAAATTGGAAGCAGCCTAAATGTTCATCCGCTAATGAATGAACAATGAAAACAAGGTATATTCACCAAAAATATGGTACATTTGCCCAATGGAATATTACTCAGCTGTTAAGAAAAATAAAATTATCAAATTCACAGGTAAATGAGCAAAACAAAAAACAATCATCCTGAGTGAGGTACCCCAGACCCACAAAGACAAATATTGTATGTTTTATCTTACATGTGGATGTTACCTTTAAGTCTTCAATATGTGTGTTTTAATCCGAATAACCACAGAGGTTAGGTTCCTAGTAAGGAGCAGGGGGAAGAAAAGGATCTCTCAAAGAAAGGGAAACAGATACTCTGTTTTTGGTGGAGGGCAAAGGGAAAAGTCCAATAGGAGGATTAAACAGGGAGGGGAAGAGAAGGGCAGGGCAAAGGAGGGAGCATGTGGCCTAATAACTAACACTAAAGGCCATTTGAAAAACCATATGGAAGCCTACTACTGTGCCCACACAAAAGGAATCTAAATGGAGTTTAGATAGGGGAGATAATGCCTCAACTAGACATATTATGCCATCAAGGAAAGCCCCCAGTACCAGGAATAAGTTATACACTACTGAGCTGCTGGCAGAAGCCCCAAAGGAACACCCAAACATCCCGGCTGTTCCCAAGGTTAGCAGTTGTTAGACTGCATCTCGGCTAAGGGCCTATTGCTGAAGACAACACTTACATGCCACTGAGCACAGAGAAATCAAGCTGGTGCCTAACCGGCATCTTCACCCCACTGACTAGTGTTCATGGTACTGGGAGATACTCTGCACAGAGGAGAAAGGGAAACACCAACCCAGGTATAAACCCTGAGACCTGCAACAACAACCCGAAAGATACACTTGTGAAATAGTGGCACAAATGCTACGGAAGTAACCAACCACTTTTGGGTTACATTTAAGACCCATTCCATGAGATGGAACACCTGACATTGCTCAGCTGTCCAAAATCTGGGACTACATAGATCACGGGTCTAAGGCAAAACGTAGTATTATTGTTCTGGTAAAGGAAAAAGCAATAAAATGACACACTGCTATATGCATAGAGTGAGAGACTCTGGAACACTCAGTCCTCAATGGTGATGTCTTCATCAAACCCCTCCTGTCAAGGCAAAAGAGGAGGAAGAAAGAGTCCAAGGGCCCAAGGTTATAGATGACTCCGAAGAAACAATGTCTCCTAGACAAACCAGGATCGATGCATACGAACTCACTAAACCTCAGACCAGATGGGGTCAAGAGAAGGGAAGGGTACACAGGGTCCCAGTACTATTCAAGACGCTATCTGCAACTGATACCCAATGACAAAGAGAAAAGCAGTTTTCCTCCAGTGGAGTCTCCTATCAACCACACATCAGCACAGGCTCCACGCCCAGGGGTAGCTGGCCCACACAAAACAAACTCAATGGTAATTTTGTGGACCTTTTGTTTCATTTTGCTTTGTTTGGGTACTTTTTTTTTTTTTTTTTTTTTTTTGTCTTGTGGGTCATTTGCTTTGTTTATTTTGATTTTTTCCACTTTTGTGTTTTTTGTGGGTTTTTGTATGTGGTTCTTGATTGTTTTTATTTTTGTTTCTTGTTTGTTTTTGGAAGCGAGTGAGAGAGAAAAGAATATAAAGTCGGTGGCTAAGGAGCTGGGGAGGATCTGGGAGGAATTAGAGGAGGGTAAACATGAACAAGATACACCCTACAATTGTTTTTCGGTTTTTGGTTTTTCAAGACAGTGTTTTCTTTCTGTAGCCTTGGCTGTCCTGGACTCACTTTGGTGACAGTTTGAGGCTGGCCTCAAACTCACAGAGATCTGCCTGCCTCTGCCTCCCTGAGGGCATAATACAGGTGTTGGTCAACATGCCCAGCTAAAAAAACTTTTTGTGAAAAAAGAAAGAAAAAAAAAAAAAAAGCAGCTGAGCCTGAGCCCTGGTATTTGGGGTGGAAATGTTTCAGTAGCAGAGGTGGACTCTTCTGGATTAGGAGCAAGCACTGTGCAGCCAGCCCACCTGTGTACAATTTGGGCTCTGCAGGTACTACATGAGAAATGAGGGGACCTTACATAAGTGGTTTTGCTTCCTTGTGCCTTTGTTTCCTCAGCTTGAAAACATGAGAAGAGTGACTTGAGTAATTGTCTGTCTTTTATGATGAATATAAATTGGTGTATCACAAGCCCTGGACTCAAGAATCTGCATACAGCAAGTGCTAAGCAATTGCTGACATGAGCCATTATTAGAAGGGACAAGTGGGGGAGGCACAGGACCAGGAAGAGACATGCTTCACAGGGTGTCCTGTGCATTCCTACCTAACTGTAGCTGAGTTTTACAAAAATGGTTTCCTTTTTGCTTGGACCAACAGGGTGCTTGAAGCCCAGATTTCCTGTCTCTTCTGTCTACTTCCTTACCTAGTTTGCTTTCTATTGCTGTAATAATCACCATAACCGAGGCTGCACCGTTTACTTGGCTTACACATTCAGATCTCAGGCCATCACTAGGGCAGGGCAGGGACTCAAGGCAGGAACTGAAGCAGAGGCAGTTACTGGCTTGCTTTCCATGGCTTGCTTATACAACCCAAGACCCTCCTGCCCAATGGTAGCATAACCCACAGTGGGCTGAGCTCTCTCCTACACCAATCACTAATCAAAAAAATAACCTGTCTACAGGTCAATCTGTTGGAGATCCCCCCTTCCAGTAGAGAAGCCTCTTCGAAGACCACATGACCTGAGTTTGTGTCAACTTGACAAACATGGTTTTAAATCTCTTGCCCCCAAAGTGAGGTGGCATAGAAATAAATTAAACAACAGGAATTACGGAATTAAAAAAAAAAAGAGGGTGTTGTAATGCT